AGCTTAAATGCCTCTTATCTTTCCTCTAATCAACACATATATAGCATAAATGCATAAACAAATTCCTCCCCAAAGCATACGCCCTTTTAATTCATTCACTTATGATTGACTTGTTATTGTGGTTGCTAATATAGGTCGGTCCGTTACTGCTGTTGCTGTGAACTCAGTATATCCCGTGCAACTTGTCACTATTGTTACGAATTAGAATATAATTCGTTTATTGTTATTGTTTGTCGGATATATTCCCGGTTCTGCTGTTGTCACTGTTAGTCACACAGTAATCCCTTCGTCAGAAACAACACAATCCAATCCATTCATTCGACAATCCAACTCATCGACAGATGGGTAGCATTGTTAGGCTTTTCAGTTCATAGCTGAACTTGAAACGAGGATATAGAACAAGAGTGAATATATGAACTATTCTACCGAAACATACTTGAGATATGAAATTACGGCGCAATTAAGTTTATTGATCAATTAAAGAGCACTTCGAGTGTAACAAAGCGTAATAGGCAGCAATTAAAGAAACGATTAAATAAAAACGGTGATAGTATTGAACAAAACGATCTATTTTTGGTCATAACATGATCATCAAAATCTTGAAAACTCCGTTCGCATCAAGCCAATCAACTATTGAAATTTAGTCCATTCATGAAAAATAAATTTGAACAACAAAAAACTGCTAACAATTCTAATCAGTATTTACTTCAACGATCAACAAAAATTTATATGTCCATCAAGGTAGTGTCATGCGAAAAAGAGCAACATATCATTTGCACATGGGATATGAATGAGAAAAGAAGAATCCAATAAGACAATCGTAAGATAAATAATTGGGGACTGCCTGTGATACTCAACGATATGACCGCTTATAATCAACTTTCTAGTAGCATGTAACTGCCGATGCAAAAGATTGAGTACAGATTCAAAAACCGAAGATATTTCGAGAATTTGAACCTTTTTGAAGGTGATGCTCAATCGTATCATATCGTTGTGCTAATTCCACAGGCACTCAACTTTGAAAAGAATCGACTGAAAGACATAAGGCAGACATACTTACTACAGTCTTCGGTCATGGAATTGCCATATTTTTCACAAAAAATTTATACAAAACAAAATAAATCTGCGACTTGCTCTACTGCAACAAGTCAAGCTGAAAAAATGAACTGTGCCCATTTACGATCAATGTATATCATACTAATGAGTAGAGCAATGACACCAGTCTGCATTTTTTTCACTGAATACAATTATAATGCGTATAACATCACAACACTGGTCAGTATCCCAATCATAGCATTGAAAGTACATAATAATTGAAACAATATGTATGCATGGCACTACTGCAGAAGCTAACAGATGTTCGGGCACAACAGACAAAGCAGTACATTATGTCTCCTTCAACCGGACTGATAGACATTCAACTCAGAATCACAGAGAGCAATGCTTTTTGAATAAAAGCGATTAATTAAAAATGGGAAAACAATTTAAAATACGATAATTCTGAATTAAACAGTGAACGCAGCAAACCAAATAAACAAGTATGACTGTTGCAAATAAGAAATCAACTTCAAATTAATTTATCAAGCATACGCGATAAAATTGAACTCAGCACTTCAATCACCTCAAACTCTTCATAAATCCCCTCCTAGAAAGAAGTAACCGTTCAAGGAAACAATTTCCCTGAACGATTAATATGACAGTCATTAACAAAACACGACCAATTAATCCATTATGATATCACATTTCAAAACGTAAGTATATAACTGATTGTATGTGAAAGTTACCGTACGACGGCACTGAAACGATGCGCTTTAATACGATAGATCACATATGCACATTACTATACTGCAAAACAAAACAAAATCCAAAAACGATGCTTTGTCTTTGGCACCAAAATACCCAACAAGATGAAAATTGAAACCTTCCAAAAGATAACAAGTGAATTTAACAAAAGATAACATTTTCCAACGTACGACTCATTTAAAGTGCAGTACGATGGAAGTTTATTGATGGTAACGATCATAATTCAGAATGCTCATCGAGATGTTGATTATCTTCCTTCAATGCATCCACAAAATCAGCAGGTGTGTGTTTACCACGGTATTCATGCATTTCACCACTAATAAATAATTTAAATGTGGGGTAGTCCTTGATTTTCAGCTCATCGCAAATACCTGAAATCGATTCGAGCAGTTGTTGGTCAGTTACATACAATTACCATAAATACAAAATATACTGAAATTTCTTAGCAGTTCAACGGAAATTATCTGAAATCGTTCGCTTTATTTAATGCAGTATTTTGATGGTAAAGTAAGAGGAACAACTGGAAGCATCATCCATACATTCTTCGTAAAGGCAGTGGTGAAGGTTGCATCTTAAAATGTTCAATTATAAAGAGATGAAAGTAAGAATAACAACAAAAAGAATAACAACTCACTTATAGCATAACTGCAGTCAACAGTTACAAACTTAAGATGCTTCGCAGTTGCAGCAGCTTCATAGAACGCGTTCCTCGCATCCTCACAAGTTTTGCACACTCAAATAACAGAATTTTTTTAATGATTCAAACCTAATGACGAGTTTTCTGTTCATTTCGAACAATTATCCTCAAATACGACACGCTTCAGGAACCTAAACTCAGTCAACAAAATCAAATCTTTGAAGCGAGAGAATGAGTGATAATGGCGAAAAAAATTTTGCAAAATTTAATTGGATGTTAGTTGCTGACGTAGAAATAAATAAAATGGGTGCTTAAAAGACAATAATTAATGGCAAGTGGTAAGGAAAGTGCTGAATGTTTGAATACACGAGAGATATTAAGGAGTTTTGGGAGATATGATTAGCTAAGATCATACTGAAACAGTGATATCCGGAAAGACACAATGTTGGATATGATGTCAAACTGTCGCAGTGGAGTTCTTGTGTGATGCCGATGTATATTTATATACCCCTAATCGTTGCAGTCATGTGATTTAGCAGTTATTGCACAACACTTCGGACTGCATAGTCGATGTGTGGGTCAATTATTTCAACATTGTGTCCTCAACTTTTTGAAAAACAATAAATTCGAGACTCATCTGGAGGTTACGTCTTGACTGTAACCAACGCTGAGGTTAAGGTTGATGCTCAGGCTCACGCTGAGTTTAGTGTTGGTGTTTAGGCTGAGCCTGATGTTCATGCTTAGACTTAGATTGAGATTCAGCTCGGACCCACGGCTGACCCTAACGTAAGGCTGAGGCTCAGCGTGAAAAGGAATACTCAATCTGACAAGTTCGTTAACAACAGAACATTATGTTGATTGCGTAGCTGCAGTACCTATTTCATATCTGTTAATGAAAACAGAACGTCCTACCGCGAAAATCGAGCACTTCATATTGAATCCCACACTAAAACGTGTAATTCTATTCGATATTATTGCTTCATAAATGATAAAAATAAATTACGTGGTGAAGAAAAGTAGACAAGCGCTTTGTCGGATGAAATCATCTCTTTAAAGTTCCCATCATTAGCCGTTTGTACGTATTCGTCAACGTTTGATTTGACTGGAGGCGATTGCGCACTGAAAGAGATGAATTTTTGAAGAGAATAGATAAGTGAGCGAAAATAATTTTCAATTTTTCGATGAAAAGTCAAATTCATTTTTTGGGATCACTATTCAAATGTTTGCAACGTTCGCTAAATAAAATAAATTTTCAAAAAGAATACAAGCCGAAAAGCGCAGCTTTATAAGAATTCTATTAGAAGCAATGTTTAAAATAAGAATGAAGTAAATAAACAGCAGTCAGTTCAAGAATAAAAAACTGCAAATTGCTAAGATAAACCCACGAATAGTCCTTATGTCCAGCCTGCTTAACGAAATCAACGAACGCCTGGGCGTTATCATATCTGCCGTGGTAATCAAGTCGATTCTTACCGTAAGATAGATAAATAATGGTTGGGAAACCCTTCAAAAAGATTGATAGAAAATATTTTCTCAACAAATTTTGCAACACATCATTGCCATCATCGACAGCATAAAATAATTAACCAAATTAATGAATGCTTGCACACTTTGATAATTTTTTCCAGATAATATGTAAACAAATGAATGCAAATCCCTTGAATAGCAAGAAAGTGATTAGATGAGACTTCCAAATGATAACGACAGTAAATGTGCTTGCAAACCTCACCAGCAATGATATCTAGTGTTAAAAGAGATAATGCAAAACGAATGTGCGGAATACGACTAAAAGAAGTTAATCAATTGACACTTTTCTGTGCAGTAGCAAAGGAAAAGAAGAGAACGAACCTTTATACCGAAATCACTACATAATGATGTTTCAACGCTACAATCAACAGCCGCCAATGCAATACGACTCTCATCAGACAACTGTCGTGCCGCTTCCCAGTAGAATGGTTTGGTTCGTTTACAGTACTGACACCCTATCGACAAAAATTAAGAATTAGTAACTCTCACGCATTTTCTCATTCGAATATTTCCTGTTTGAAAAAAATTTTCAAATTTTTTTTCAAATTCAATGTTTCAAAAAATCTTTGTAATATTTCAAAAATTTTCCATCGAGGCGCCTTCAGCACTTCAGCGTGAATCCTCAGATATTTGAATTCGAAATGAATTTTTTAAAAATCATATGGAAAGCATCAAAAAATGAGGCATACGATGGTTCCGATTGACAATCAGTTGTTGGACGTAATAGAAGAATGCAATATCACTTAAATATGTCAAACAAATGCAAACTTATAAATGTTGGAAAACGAAAAAATAACGGGCAAATGAAAAGAACATATAAATTGTCTCTCACACGGTGCGTAGAACATCACCAAAGCATCCCTTTTCTTTTTCAGCTCTGATTTAAAATTATCACCAACTAGATGAAGCACACTACTGTCTTCAGCACTCCAGCCTGAATCCTCAGATGGTGGTTCAACGGGGCTGGAATTTGGTGATTATTTTCAATGTATTATCAAAAAAATAAGACACGGGGATGCTGTATACAAAGTCTTTTCACAAGTTCAACAACCAATAAAAACTATATTTCGTTAGCTCAACCAAAATTTTGAAACTTTCACGGCAGAATATGGACTGGGTGGATGATTGAAACGCTTACTTTTTCATAAATTTATAAAATCCATCTTTAGTACGTTCGTTGACTTTCCAACTGTATTTTCCTTTTTTGTAATATGCGAACGTTGGAAATCCTTCTACGCCAACTTTTTCTGCAGCTTTCCTGAAATCCTTGAATAGAATGAAGGCACAAACAAATAAATTGTTCATTCGGAGACAATCAAAGGTGCTTTTTTACAACAAACAAGCAAACAAATAAAAACCAATTTCAATTACTGATTAACCAACATAACACGTCCCTCAAAACAGTTAGCGTCAATTACATTTGTACACAAGTTATAGGATTCATTCCTATAGTAGAAGTCATTACGAAGAATTTATTACGAAGCTTCAATGAAATCAAACTGCAAAATGTACAATTTGTCTCATTATAACATGAAATGAAACATCACAAGGTATACATAACCTGTGCACTGTTGCATCAACAGCTGCTAGTACGCCATCGATTTTATCCTTTTTGAGCATTTCTGCAGCTGCCATATACTCTGGTTTTGCTTTGTTGCAATGACCACACCCTTAAATAAATCTTTCGCATAAAAAGCATATCCAATCAAAAACATAGACTTATATTAAAGTATGAAATCGGAAATTTGAGATGAAATCAAGAAAATTACATGGGGCATAGAACATGACCAAGACACTGGAATGAGATGCCATGAATGCATCGAATTTTTCATCATCCAAATGAACGACTTCAGATGGTATCTCCGACCACGGTTTTTCCTCGGTTTTTTTCTCTTCCATCAGCGGTTTTTCTGTTGGATTTTTCAACCAAGCCATAATACCCTCCTTAAAATATTCGAATCGAAATGAATCAATGCCTTTCAATCATTTTATTTTTTTAAATGAAGATATATCCAGAATTTCACAATCCCAAAAATCCAAACAAATTCAGTTCAATTCCAGTATGATTGTTGCTGAAATTTCCAAGAAGCTAAATCACAAATTCAATTCCGTTATCAATGAAAACGTTTACCACTTAATACCCACTACATTTCCAACCATCATCATCCTCGAATTCATTCATTTTTCAATAATAATTTTCGACAAAGCTAAAATAAAACAAATGAAACGTAACAGCACGGTGACTGCTGCGCGCTCATTAATTCGATCACATATTTCCGTATACGTAAACTAATTAACACAACGGCTGATCTAAATAACAAAAAAACCTTGGTATTTAGACCAGTGAAACGGAATTTATGTTGACCATTCTCGAAATAATGCAGCGTAGGATAGCCCTCCACATTGAACTTTTGAACGACGTATTCATTGCTGGACTGTGTCGCATCCACTGCAGCCAGTATGAATTTACCGTTCAGTTCATTTGCTGCTTCACTTAAATCACTCAATCATTTATATTATTGCATTATCATATATAATGGTATTACAACGAAAAATCATTTGTTTGTTATGTTATCATCCTTTAGTGGTGCTGTTCCGTTAACAGATTTCGTGTTTATGAGCAACGCCTCAGGGAACCAACTAACCGATCATCTTTAACAACTTATCTCAGTGAGGTGAACCAGTAAAAAAAATCAACACTTTTGCACTATTTATTTACGCTCAAATGTTTACTAATTCGAATCGAAATTTTAAAAAAATGCAAAATCAACACGTTTGTAAAGAACAGTTTTACTCACCATTATAGCTACATTCATCTTAACAAAAATATTAATTGCATCACGACTGTACTCAATAAAAATTGATAATTTTTTTGAAATGCCGACATTCAAAATATAGTGACCTTATAAAATATGTAACAACATTCTAAATGATACAATAGAATAAGTTTTTTTTCACCAACCAATATTCAGGTTTTAGCCGCTTACAATGACCACACCACGGTGCATAAAACATCACCAACGTAGGCCTTTTCATGGCCAACAACTTTGTGAACGCTTTACGATTTTCTGCAAACGTAAAATAAGTTATCAACTTTAACTTCATTGTAGAGAAGTTGATAGGACAGCGTTATGGGGATGACTTAAGAGATAGATTATAAATCATTTAATGCGAAGATAATGAACTCAAAAGAGAATTTGTTTGAATGCTTCAGTTCACAAACCAATGTGGACAACATTCGCTGAGCTCGGATCCTCATCCCACGGAATGTCACCGGTTGGATCGTTCATGAATCGAGTGATACTTTTCGATGTTAGTTGTCTGTCGTATTCCTTTCGATATTCACCATTGCTGAAACATTCAGAATTCATTTAAGAATCGATTACTTGCTAACGATAACAATAATAATAAACCAACATACTGATAATGACGTAGAGTATATGGATTTGGTTCAATTTTCAACTTTTTACATAGTTTTTTACTCTCTTTATCCGCGCTGCAATCGACCATCGCAAACGTTCCAATACCCGTACACTTATCAGCCGCATCCGAAAATGTATTCAAAACGGATTTCACCGAGGCATCCTCATTTCGCATACCATCAACGAATAACACTAACACGTTCGTTCGCACTCGTAACAGTTTCTAAACATACATTCTGTCGGTTTTCGAAATCAAATGTGAGTAGAAGAAGCAAAAAGGAGCTGTTGGTGCTGGTTGAGGTCAAAATAAACTAACCTTGAAACTTTTGTGATCGCTAATTGAGTCAACATTACGAGCATTTCTGATTTGAGCACTGACATCGGATAACAGCAAAGCAATCACCTGATTTCAACAACATAATCAACAAAAGAAATGATGGCAAGGATGTCACATCAAGTAATTAGCACATGCGTTATAGAATTAAGAAAATACTCTGCCAACTTATAATTTAAAACGAAAATGTGTGCAGAGATGAGCGATTTGCACACTCCGACCCAAAAGCAAACTGGCGTCAGGATTGAGTGAATCCCTTGAATTCGCATGTGCAATCATCATATCAGTGATGTGTAAACGGTGGAATGAATCATCGAAAAATTGCCGAATCAATTTTCAAGTTAAGAACTCAAATCGAACAGAATGTTCGGGTGGAGCGAAATTTTGATTGATTAATTCGTCAATTTACGTTTGATTTCATTCTTACTGTTTTCCTCATAAAATTGACGAGTTGCTATGATTTCGATGATTACGATTACTTATTCAAGTGTTTTTGTAATGCATAAATTGATCATCTATCGAATGCATCCTCATATAAAAATCATTTTGGGATGAAAATTGAAAGCACTAACCACAAAATAAAGCGCACAAATAAAACGCCACGACAACATCACGATTGAGCGGAATACTCTGCCCTCACATAGGACCCTATAAAATGAACATATTCAAATGTACAACAATGATAGTATTAGTTCTAATACAATCACTAAACCAACACTGAATTTCATTCAATATGATTACATTGCACTCTATTAAAAATCGTTTGCGACACGATGAAATAGATTCAAACCGAATAAGGATGGCAATAATTTGAAAAATTACAAGAATAACCAAAGAAAATGGCATCTAATAACGAGAAGGAATAATGATATTTAAAAACAACAATGACATTCACTCAATTCTGTTCACATCTTCAACACTAAACGAATTCTTTGGTCATTCAATCGATTATTTCATGATATGAATTGAATGGTTACATTTTGATGAATTACAATACCTTAACGTTACGCACTCGGTTTATTTGATAACACATTTGTAATATAGTTACTTATTTAACATCGTAATTGTGGCGTAATGTCGTTATAGCCAAACACCTTGAATTAGAGTTTGTTGGTGTGAAGGGGGATGGATGAGCGTGTGATTCGGTCGCGGCGGACCGAAATTGGAGGTGAGGGAAGACATTAGGCAAGAGATTATTTTGAGTCGTACACATAAGGTTTACTTCCAAAAGCGTGTTTAATTCTTCGATGGCCACCGACCCAACTTTACAATTCATGTCGTCGGTATATTTGTCACTGATCCTAATAAGAAACCTTACAGAAAGTCTAACTCAAGTTTGGTCTCAGTCCGAGGAATTAAGGGCACTTTTGTTGATAACGAGCGCCACCGCGCGCATGTGCTTCGATTACCACTTTGCGGCATGTGTAGATATGCAATTCGAAGTCAAATCAGGAGCATACTTAGGCTTAGACTCACGCTTAGCCCAATGATTCAGAAATTGCGCTTTTGCAATCGGTTTCTCCCAGGTTACTTCATTTTCGTTCCCGTTATTTCATTGCGGTTTGAATCGGTGAGACATTGCTGCGCACTTCTAGGTGCGTTTCCTACTCCGGAACAGAAGAGGCGCATCCCAGTCCCACGTTCCCAGTTTTTCGGCTTTCTGATGCCCTTTGGTTATTCCGTTTCTCGTTGTGGGAGATTTTTTGTTCGGGTTCTGGTCGCTGTTTGCATGAAGCATGAATGTGACGTAGCACTAGCAAAAGGACGATGTTGAAATCTCTGTACCGGAATTCTCGCGTAACTTAATACGGTCTCTTCTGAGAGCTTACGAAACGAATGTTATAAGTCCTGGACCGAAAACCTCAGTGAGAAATTATTTGTTCTAGAACAGTGTGACTTGAAGAGGTTTACCCTCATAATCACAACTGTGACGAGGGAAATACGGTCACTGCAGCGGCCACTTAGCGCAGATGTGTAGGATGCGCACGGACCCGGCACATCAGAAATGCTTGAAGATTGGGGTGACAAATTTTTGTGGTGAAAAAAAGAACTCTTTAAATCACAATTCTCCGTCAGATGAATATGCTTTTTATTTCAAAAAAAACGTGTGTAAAATTTCGTCCTAAAAAAATTAGATTGATAAGTCGCAGGGAAAAATTTTTTTCCGCTTCTATATTGTGCTTGTAGGCGTATCAGGCAAAAAAGGGTTTGACCCGGCGATCTCTCCAAGTAACTTTTTTTTGGAGCGAACTTATCGTGTGGGTTGTTTCTAAATCGGAAGGCATATTTGTCTGAACTGAGACCTTACGAGTTACGAAAAACGAAAAAATTTGCCTTTATAATGGAGATTCCATGTTATCAGTTGAATTCAATTTTACTTATGCAAATCATTTTTTTGGCAATAATAGAACTGATTTGATTGTTTTTGGTGTTAATTCGCAGTGAACAACTTCGTGTAAACACAAAAGTGCCAAACCCATAAGATGACGTTCTGAGTTAATTATGTCGTTATTGCAGTCACAATCATCCTTTTTGTTTGAGTTTTTCTTGCCAGAAACGCTGGGTAGAGTTTTTGACGATATTGGGTTGGGTCATAGCTGAGGTTCATTTAAGCTCGAACTCAAATGTTGGCTAAAGGTTGCTTTAGTTTAAGGCGGGGCTTGCTCAGGCTCAGACTTTTGCTAACAAGCTTTAGACTTAAACTTATTTTCAATTTTGCTCAAATTCCCGTTCATGCTCGCGCTTACTTTCCAGTCTTCCGGGGAAATGGTATGTATAGTGAAGGTCAAGATGCTCAAGCTATGCAGATATCTGAAAAATAACAACTGAATGATAAACGGATGACTAGATGCGAAAAATCGTTGAATTATGACTTTCTTCTCTCTTGTAATCGCTCTTAAGTTTGTATACAATATTCATATATTTAGATAGTAATCAGAAAGTTGTTGTTACCATTACTATAAATATTATTTCAGTGATTTAGTGCACTAAAACTGATCGATGATCGTCGTGCATTTCATTAAAATTTTCAGATTATTCACTCTGTTTGCAATGAAAAGCACAATCGATAACACATTGAATTTCCATTTCGTAATCGGAACAATATCAAATCTTTATTCATTCTGTGTGATTAACAAATAAATAAATTCATTTGTCGTCAAAATTATAACAGATACGATTATATTTCTTGAGTGAAAAAACGTTTAGGAAAAAACTGAAAAGTGAAATTTTGATGGATACTGCTTTCGACATTCCCAATATTTACACGGATATTTTTCGCACTGAGATTTCCCATATTCTTCTGAAGAACGTAATTTTTGCATAATCAAGATATTGACTTAAAAAATATTTTTATACAAATGATAAGCCAAGTGGCCAAAATTCAATAATGATTCTCCCAATTTGTGCAAGCCTCCATGCCACTGAGTGGAAAACAAGATTGAATCACTGCAGTAGCTACACTTATGCCGAAAGAAGTGCGGATAATTCACCCATCAAAATCCAAAAATAAGATTTTAAACGCTAGCTACTGATATAATTATGACCCAAGTTAGTTACTCACAAAGACATAATTTAATCAAATATACGAATGCAATATTTCACATTGGATGATCCATAATCGTCCACTTTCCTTTCATAGTTATCATCGTGTGTGGGCACGACAACTCATCGTGATGGAATTTATGATGGCTTATTGAGACTGTTCACTACATTTATGGGATACAGTTGAGGGCATGCAGTTGGCAGTAAAGTTGTGCCGAACCTGAACCATTTCATTCACATGAATTAGTGGCATGTGGAACACCTTCACTTAGAGGATTAATTCATCTACTTACATTCGTAAAGACATGTCAAGTGCGCAGAAACGAATAATTGTATGGATTAATGAAAGATCTAGGATTCCTTATTAACCATTTTTGATAAGATTATCCACCAATGAGTTTATTTTAAAAAATCCTTCAAAATAATCTCAAGCAGTGCACTGAAGTTGGCAAAAGATAATTCGGACAACTGATGTATATGCTAAATGTATAGGTTCGTTGAACGTAAGGCATTGTACTTCACAATCAATTTTGGATGGCTGTTTAATGCATTATCACAGTTCAAATCACATAAAACCGCTTCTTACTTTGCAAGAACGCAAATGCATACAAAGCGCGTGAAACGAGAATGAAAGCAAATTAAAATGCACCTTCGATGTGCTTCACAGCGCTTCACTTCGAAATAACACTTATTTCTGTAGACGATACCATTTTGATCGCACACAACATCCCATACTTCATCACATGACGAAGTGCAACAAATTCCTTAACATTCAATTCTAATTTAAGTCGTTTTCGATTTCATTTCATTTTACTTGAACATTTGATTTTTAAAACTCATCCATTTCACAAATTATTTCAGCCGGTTTTATATATCCATTTGCTCGCGTAGAAGCCAGGGAATGGATAAACAAGTTATTGAATGATTCATTTTGTACAGATATATGATAAATTAAAGATAGCCATGCAAAAGAGGATGGCATACAGATTCGAATCAGTGGAAACATCAGCACTTAAGAATTTATAGTAGTCAATGTATTTAAAAGTGTTGATGCTATTTGATAAATTATCGCCTGGTTTGCGATGCATAATTGAGGAACAAAATGGATGGTTGATAAATGAAGACAAGCAATTGCTTCGATACGCTTGAGTAAATGTTTGCCGAGTATTTCTCTACAAACGAGAGTATGACTCATGAGAATGTGAAGAAAATAAAAGGAGAACGCTACAATTGTATAAAAATTGTGAAAGTGTTTATAAGACGCATAAAAAGAAATAAAATTTAGTGGAAATATGCGA